GAGAGAGAGAGAGAGAGAGAGAGAGAGAGGGAGAGGGAGAGAGGGAGAGGGAGAGAGAGAGGGAGAGGGAGAGAGAGGGACCCAAAGTGATCCAACGGGAAAGGAAAAGGGAGACTGTTACATTAGATCCACCGAGATCCCGAGGATCGTTGGGCTGCTTTGAAATTGAGATTCCAACAAACGGGCAGACCTAGAAGGAACGGATCAGTCTCCAGACACAGATGAGCTACCCAAATCGGACCAAGAGGACGTGAGGACCCTGATCAGATTAACGAAGAGCAAGAGGCTGAACCAGGAATCAACAGCACAGCACTGAAGAGCCCCAGACCACGGGACCCACAGCAGGTTCACAGAAGGCTCCTCACTACTGCCCGACTTAGACAGAGAAGGGGAAGCTTCCGGATTCCTCCTTCAGAGTGGTATCACCTGGGCACCAAAACCAGAGAAGGAAAAGGAGATGACCAGCCAATTCCCTGGATGAACATAGACACAAAATTTCTTTTTTTTTAAAGCATATAAAGCAGGGTTTATTTAAAAAGGGGGTCACACAGACTTCTCCTGGGAGGGAGCTCCTCCCGGGGCCCAGCCCCAGCCCACCAGCCTCTATGTGTCTTAGGCTCCTTTATTCTCCTGCTCGCTGCCCCCTGACCTCTCTCCTGTGACCTGTGACCAGGCCCGGGGGCTGCAGGTGGGGTGGCCCAAAGCTGGGCCGAAGGGGCTGGTGGGGGGAGTGATCTGGGCAAGAGGGGGTGTCACTAACGACTCCCTGTGGGGAGGGACCATCCTGGGACAGGTTGCCTTGGCCACAGGTTGGAGCTGGGGCGGGTGATCTGGATCAGGTGGAGGAAGGGCATTTCAACCCCTCCATTCTCTGGATCTGGCCCTGCCTCTCTGCCTGATTCTGGCTTCATCCCTCTCCAGTTTTAGGAACTCCCGACTGCTGCAAGGAGAAGGGGTGATAACCACTCACAAAAGTTCTTAATAAAATACTTCAAGACATAAACAAAGATCACACACCATGATCGAGTTGTTTTCCTTCCAGGGATGCAAGGCTGGTTCATGACACACAGATCAATCAATGAAACACACCACATCAACGGAAGAAGGATAAAGATCACACTATCATCTCAACAGACGCAGAAAAATCTCTTGACAGAATTCAACRCTGCTTCGTGATAAAAGCTCTGAAGGAAGGGCCTCACCTTGGCGTGATATATACCCCATCCAAAACCCCACCGCCAACACCGTAGGGAATGGGGAAAAACTGAAGGCGTTCCCTTTAAAATCAGGAATGAGACCAGGATGTCCACTCTCGCCCCTCGTATTCAGTACAGTGCTTGAAGGTTTAGCCAGAGCAATTAGACAAGAAAAAAGAAATAAAAGAGAAAAAAGGAAGAAGACAAATCACCCTTTTCTGCAGGTGACATGAGCCTGTACTTAGAAGACGCTAAATTCTCTGCCAGAAAACTTGAGATCTGATACACAGATTCAGCAAAGKAGCAGGATACAAAACCAATATTCAAGAATCGATCGCTTTTCTATACACTGATAACAGACCCGCTGAGAAAGACATCAGGAAAACAACCCCATTCACCACGGCTTAAAGAATACCCCGGACAGACCTTACCAACGAGCTGAGAGACCGCGGGAAGGAGATCACAGGACATGGGCACGAGAAATGTCAGAAGCCTCTCGGAGATGGCAGGAACTCAGAGATGTTCCTGGATGGGCACCGTTGACATCGTTAAAATGCCACGTCACCCGGGGCCACCGACAGATAGAACGCAATTCCCATCAAAACACCGATGACACCGTTCAGCTCAAACAATCAACATCCAGACAGGCCTAAAAGTCACACGGAAGCAAAGAAGTCCCCAAGAGTCAGAGCCATGCTGAGCAASAGGAGCAA